ATATATATATATATATATATACAATAACTCGCCATCCGCAAAATGTCGAGAATTGCATTTGCGCCATAATAGGTTTTCGTTAGCTCAGAGCTTTACATCCTCAGAACGCAGCCAAGTAAGCTGGCGTCGAGTGCCAGGCAAAAATCACTATCACGCTCGCAAAAAACCGTGACGTGACGTCAGAGGCTGAAGCTATGACGTGCCGACGTCAAATGTTCGATTTACTTCTGCTAAAGACGTTTTCATCGCCTGACTGCCGGACACCAAGTACTGGAGCAGATTTTCGCTGGAATAAATCGCTGATTCAAACATGCGAACGCATTGAAATACGATTTGTGACGAGATGACGTGAAATGTATTCAACGCCTCTGGAAAAATACGCTTGTATACAATGTATTCTCTTGCATATACGATTGCACGCTAAACCAATTGGTCAGCCTGGCCGCGGGCTAACGCCGACATTTGTAGAGCGTTGACGCCAAGTAATGTAAGATAATTTGCGACTACATGCCATGACGATATCTGTGGATTGATATATCCGACTACTTTCACTACATTGACAGTGCCAGGGTATATGCTGTCGCTATAATGGCGAGCGAGACAGGAACAGATAAATGAATAACAGGAACAGGAAAATAAAAGAACTACCGTGAGAGTGGAAGGGAAGAAGCCGAAACAACTAGAAAAAAAGCAGTAGTAAGAGCTAGGAGAAGGAAAAGATTAATCTTCATATTTTCCCAATAATGGAACGCAGTGGCGTACGCAGGATTTTCGAAAGAGGGGTGTTAGGAGCACGCATTCTCCCCCAGAAATTTTTTGAAATTAGCACCCCTCAGATGCGTTTTCTGCGCGAGCCTGGGGGGTCCGGACCCCCTGGACCCCCCCCCCTGTACACGCCCTGTTCCCCCCTGGAAACTGTAGACTGATACCGTGTGCGCTTGCACTGACGGGTGGGGTCCCGGGAGTAGATTCATGATTCATCAAGCTGCGTACGCAAAATATTTTGCGTAAATCTTGTGTGCGTACGCAAAATATTTTGCGTAAATCTTGTGTGCGTACGCAATCGACGTTGCTTAGTTGCGATTTATCAACGCAGTTATTTAGTAGTATTCGTATTATAGTATTAGTATGCGATTTCGCGTACGCAAGCGAGGCCGTTTTAGGTGCGATTCATCAAGCTAAAATTTACGTAAACCTTTGCGTAGGGAGTGTGTATGTGTCAGAGAGAGAGAGAGAGAGAGAGAGGTGTGCGTGCGTGTGTGTGTGTGTGTGAGAGAGAGAGAGGGGGTGTACGTGTTTGTGTTGTGTATGTGACAGAGAGAGAGAGAGAGAGAGAGAGAGAGAGAGAGAGAGAGAGAGAGAGAGAGGGGAGGGAGGGAGGGAGGGATGGAGGGAGAAGAGAAGAGAAGAGAAGAGAGAGAGAGAGCGAGAGAGAGAGAGAGCGCGCGAGCGAGAGAGAGAGAGAGAGGAAGAGAGAGAGAGAGAGAGAGAGAGAAAAAAAGAGAGAGAGAGAGAAAGAGAGAGAGCGTGAGAGAAACAGAGAGGTGTGTGCGCGCGCGCGTGTGTGTGTGAGAGAGAGAGCTGTGCGTGATTGTGCTGTGCTGTGCTGTGTGTGTGTGTGTGTGTGTGTGTGTGTGTGTGTGTGTGTGTGTGTGTGTGTGTGTGTGTGTGCGTGCGTGTGCGTGCGTGAGAGAGAGAGAGAGAGAGAGAGAGGTGTGCGTGTTTGTGCTGTGTGTGTTTGTTTAGTGATCATAAGTACTTATCCATACTACGTAACATACAGACAGTCGACAAACGTGGCATAGGCCTACACTAGCTATTATAAAAAGCTGCGTTTGATAGCTAGAGTAGATGCAGTAAAATCGGTAAAATTTCTGATATCTCACGATGTAAACAAACTCAAGTCTTATGGAACATAATATGTGTTGCGTGCAATCCAATTCTGCCCAATCTTACGAATCTGCCGCCTGTGTGGCAGCCTCATTGAAACTGTAGCACCTAAACCCACGCTGATAAACCTGTCTGGTAAATCGGGATCCTCTTAAACTCTTCTTCTTCCTTCTTTCCTTTGGTCTTTTTTTTTGGAATCTCAGGGGGGGATATTTGTACAGGCCATCCCCCCTCCTTCAAGAGCAGGGGGGATGTATCCCCCCATCCCCCCCGGAATTTACGCCCGTGTTAGTGACTGCGGAGCGCTGCGCATAGCGTAGTGCAGCGCGTAGCTCTGCATGGAGCGGAGCGGGGACGCAGGGTGCTCGAGGGGGGTGTCCCCCCCTCGAGTCTGAAATAAAAATGAAAAATAAAAATGTATGAGAGCAAAGATACTTATAGTTACGACATCGCGATTCGC